AACGCTTTTTGAGTGGCCATTGGAGGGCTGAGACGGAAGCACCGTCGGCTCCAGTTGAGGCTGGATCGACGAGTGTGCATATCATACCCGGACCACCTGTAGAACTAGACGCTACACATACCAGAGGAGGAGGATGAAAGGCAAAGATATCCATGTAGAGTATCACAGCTCTGGGGAAAGAGTTAGAAGGAGAGGTCTTTGCGAAAGGCAGACATACTGATGTGCCCGGTGGAAACATCGTAATCAATCACGGAGGCTTGTGAACTCTGAACAAGGAAAAGACTGAGAGCATTCATCAAATGTGATGTATCTATCAAGGGCAGTTACGGCCTGCGACGAGTGGCTGTACCTACGGTCTCTTCACAGAGTATAGCGGAAAAGAAGACCAGGTCCATTGGCGACACCCTCCAAGCCTACAGCTTGATCAGACTTGCGGTTCAGCTTCTGCAGCCAGAATCGTAGTATGAGTGACGCAGCTGCGCAGCAAAGGAGCGCTACTGTCAAAACAATGCAGCCCATGCGATAAAGACTGCATGATTCAGTCAGCGAATGTTCATCAATCATAGACTTTAGACTTACGGTGCGCTCCACGCGGGATATAGGTAAGCAGTGGCGATGTTCGTCGCATTCGACACAGCCGTCGCCAGGGCAAGTGTAACAGCCCTCTTCGCTTTTGGCCGCGCAACCGTTGCAGAAACCCAAGGCAAGATGAGCTGGAACGCAGAGAAAGATCCCATAGCTTGTAGGAACATGGCGAAGTAGCGAGGTCCAGTTTGGTATGTTGACATAGAGATGATCTGGCCAACTGCGGAGATGACGCACGCAGCGACGATGTGGAAGCAATGCTCACCGGAGCGTCCGGAGTGCCACGAATTCGCGACCGAGAAGAGGAAGGCCAGGAAATAAGGCGGCGCTGTGAGCAAAAGCGTTTCAACGCGGGGGAAGCCAAGTGTTTGGACAATGGATGGAAAGAAGTAGGTGAAGCTCATGGATACGACGGCGCATGTCTGGATGAAGACAAGAAGTGGCTAGAGGTGGCATTCGACGTTAGCAACGCGTACTAGTTCATAGGTTTCGATTCTCGACACGCAATAATAAGATGAGAGAGATACGTACCACTTTCGGATCAGAGAAAGCCTGCTTCAGTCCAACGAAGACTGATTCGTTTACTTCATCTGCCACACCATCATTCTCGCGGTCAAGTCGCCATTGCGCCATAGCAGTCTCTTCAGCCGATAGGAACGAGGTGTTCGAAGGATAATTCGGCAGAAGCGCATATCCAGCAAAAGCCATAACGATCGTCAGAGCCCCCTCAAGAATGAAGATCCAGCGCCAACTCGGGTAGCCACCAAGACCTTCCATGCCGTCGACAATGCCAGCGGCAATCAATCCGCCAAACGCCGAGGACAGCGTGTATCCAGAGTAGAAAGTGGCGATACGACTCGGTAGCTCTTTCCGCGTGTACCAGCATGAGAGGAAGAAGATACACCCAGGGAAGTACGGTGCTTCTGTTACACCGACCAGGAATCTCAAGGCGACTAGACCGGCGTGGTTTTGAACGAATCCTGTAGCGCCGGAAACAATACCCCAGATAATAACAACTGTCGGCAGGTATAGCCTGGGCTTGAAGATGGAGAGCAGCATGTTCGACGGAATCATCATGGAGATGTAACCAGCCCACAGCACCATAACGGCAGTCTGATACTCCACATCGTCGATGCCCAGTGTGGCTTCCAGACCTCCGAGACGTGCGTTGGCAATGGCGTTTCGATCGAGCACGTTGAGCAGGAAGAGTACGATCAGGATGGGTAGGGCTCTGAAGTCGATCTTCCGCACGAGCTTCTTCTCGAGAGCGGTGAGCTGCTCAAGTGTGTGGTTTCGCAGGATTTCGGGGACGGAGTTGTGAGATTCATTTGTAGCTTCGATGTATTCGCACGCTACATCCTTCTCCAGAGAGTGCTTTTCAACGTCCATGGTGATGGATTAGACAAGGTTTCGGGGTCGTGAAGGTTGAGGGTGAAGCCAGACTGACGTTACCCCACGAACCTGGGGTAAACTGCAGGTGCATCTTATACTCTTACCCCGGATCCATATAGTCACCACGTCGTCGTCTTACCTGCTGGTGCTGGCTAGCTTAGTGTGGGATGAGATGCGGGGGTTCCCGCATCTAGCTATGTCTCCCGGCCGGGTAAGGTCGTCCATGCAAGTCGCACATGCATAGCAGGTGTCATGACCAGCCAAGCCTGGTGATCACGGCATTTTGGCCGAGACATACTGAAATGACGCTTGCATGCTAAAGTATCGGTCTTTGAGCGAGTTGGCAATGATCTGGATGAGAGACGAGGGGAAGACCGGGGATGCGCCGATCACGGTGCTTTATGTATAGCCGAACAGGGTCGTGATGGAACGTGCCAACGGGCAGCATGTGCATTCAGTCACCGACAGTGCGAAAAGCTGTATGCATGCGATATGGGTGTCAACACAGAAAAAGATAGTTTGTGTAAGATGATAGTGACTCGATCATTGAAACGCGAAATATAAACTTTTGGCATGTATCCTTGCAGACATGATAATATCCACGCGATGATTTGGACATCATGAGAGAGTGCTGATAGAAATGGTAGCACAGCGGCTGTGCTAATCTTTCAACTGAATCGCCGTCTGGTATATTATGCTGCGACTTCTACAGTATTGACTTGCACACTCTCAATCTTCTGGCTCGCCTGCCCGGTTCCTTTCACACTCTGTTTCGGTGCGAAAGCCTCCACATAATCCCGAACAATTTGATCAAATCCAGTATCTCTCACGAAGCCAAGGTCCAAAGCCTTAGTGTTGTCAAACTCAGCAGGCCATGAGTATAGAATCTTCTTGCACGTGGGTTCGTCCTTCATCTCAAGCAGTTCAAGCTTATCGCTACCTCCTACCCTTGCAAGAGAGTCCATCATGTCCTGCACCGAGACGCCGATGCCGGGGAAGTTGAGGCAGCGATCAAACTTGGCGAGGCGATTGATTTCAAAGTCCGTGGCGGCGTAGACGAGGTTTTGGACTAATATCCTGGGAGAGCATAGCCAATGTCGCCATTGCTTATCCTCTAGCGGGATAACACATTTGATGCCGTTCATGGGTTCGCGAATCATACCGCTGATGAATGAGCTCGCTGCGGCTGTGGGTTTCCCTGGGCGTACCGAGACAGTAGGGAAACGAAGCGAGATGCCGTCGATGAAGCCGCGTCGTGTGTACTCAGTGACGAGGTACTCGCACATCATCTTCTCCGCGCCGTAGCTTGTCTCCGGTGTCGGCATCTGGGATTCCGTGACGGGTAATGTGACAGAGTTGTTGTATACTGCTTGGCTGGAGGCGTATATTACCCTCGCTCCTGGACACGTTTTCCGGATAGAATCGAGTAGTGCGCGAGTAGCATCGAAGTTTGCTTTCATGCCGAGCTCGAAATCGGCTTCTGCGCCTGAGGACATGATGCCGTGGAAGACATAGACGGCTTCTATATCTTTAGTAACGACAGCATCTGACTCTGTGCACAAATCCGCCTTGATGGCTTGTGCTCGTTTTGAGAATCGCGCATCTGATGGGATGGGTGGTTCGATGATGTCGGTGAGGATGAGTGCATGTGCTGCCTTCTCGTCGTCGAGCAGCTTCTTCGCTACGAGTTGACCGATGAAGCCGGCAGCACCTGTAATAAGAATGCGCATTGTGATTTTGATGAACTGGGGTAGTGTGAGATGGCATGCGGCTCTGCCAAACAAACTTTACTCATATACGGATCGCGCTCTGCAACCATCGGAGCGGTGCTTCGGCCGACTGTATGCCCTTGTGATGCAGGCATGTTGCTCGCGAAACCTTCTCCCCTCGGTTCATTGTATCCGTAATGATTAGATGCTTGATAGTGTTGGTGGTGTCGGCCGCGGTTGCGGTTGTCAGAGGCTCGTCGCTGCCTGCGAGCCATCGGCGTTTCGCCGGGCCCACTTCTCCGCATCCACGTCGGTAGATCGACTAGCGAGGTAGCTGCCGCGCCAATTGACAGCCTCGCGAACATTACAAACGTTCTCGATTTACTCGCGTTCTTAGCACGATCAAGTCATTAGTCCTTCTTGTGACAGTGTGCAAAAATGGCAGATAACACCGTTTCCGTGGAAGAGATCAAGAAGCATGCCACTGAACAAGACTGTTGGATAGTAGTAGATGATGTAGTATGGGACATAACAGAGTTCATACCAAGTCATCCTGGGGGCAATGAGAGTGGGTGTTTTCTTGCATGTTCTATCAGCCTTACGAAGCATTGAAAAACATGCAGACAAAATTAGAACCTCTATTTCGATGCACCCATTTTAAAGTACCATCATGTCACAAAAGACGCAACTGACAGCTCCCAGTAATAACGAAACACGCCGGGCTCGACGCCTCCCTAGCCTACAACTCTGTCCACTCACCCACTTTGATATCCAAGACTCTCGCTCCAGGCAAATGCATCGGCAAAGTCTCGTCCTCAACACCCTCCTACGAGCTCCTAAAACCACCTCCAACAGAATCCGCCCAGCCCGCCCTATCAATTGCCTCAAAGCCGCCGCTCAGCAGTTTGATAAACAGCTACGACTTCGAAGCCGTCGCCGAAAAAGTCCTCGGCAAGAAAGCATGGGCCTTCTATTCCAGCGGCGCAACGAACCTCGTGACGCGGGATGCAAACAAGAGCATGTTTGATCGGATATGGTTTCGACCGCGGTTATTGAGAAACATCCGGCATGTGGATACGAGGACGAAGATGTTGGGGCAGAGTGTGGAGTTGCCGTTTTTTGTTAGTCCGGCTGCGATGGCGCGGTTGGCGCATCCGGAAGGAGAGAGGGCGTTGGCGAGGGGGTGTGAGGGGAGGGGGGTTGCGCAGTGTGTATGTTCATATCTCCGTTTGCTGTGCGAGTTGGAAGACGGGAAGGTAGGAAAGATGATGTGCTAACGCGAGCTGCCAGATCTCAACAAATGCGTCGTTTACCATGCAAGAAATCACAGGAAGTGTGAAAAAGGATTCCATACCCTTCTTCTTCCAACTCTACGTCAACAAGGAACGCAAAGCTTCGGAAGATCTTCTCAAAGACGCGGAGAAGAATGGGATTAAGGGCGTGTGGTTCACCATCGACGGACCCGTGCAGGGGAAACGAGGTATGTCCTATCCCACCCTACCAAGCCCTCCTCTCTGCATCTCCAGCACCCGGAGACTGATGCTAAGTCTGTACCACAGAAGGAGACGAGCGCGTGAAAGTCGAATCCGCAACCTTCGCCAAAGCCGCCATCAGCGGCGCGGCCGCCACAAACGACAAGAAAGGCGGTGGCCTCGGTCGCACCATGGGCGGCTACATAGACGACACATTTAACTGGGATGACATCGCCTGGCTGCGCCAAGCGACTAAACTACCCATAGTAGCGAAAGGAGTTCAGACAGTCGAAGACGCGGTACTAGCTGTGAAAAACGGGTTGGATGGCATAGTGATAACGAACCATGGAGGGAGGAATTTGGATACGTATGTCCCCTTAACCTTCCAAGACGCGGACGACGAACGATTAGAGCGTTTGCTAATACAGGACAACAGTTCCCCACCCTCCCTCCTAACCCTCCTCGAAATCCGACGCCACGCCCCCGAAGTCTTTTCCAGCCTAGAAGTCTACATTGATTGCGGTATCCGGCGCGGAACCGACATAGTGAAAGCGCTGTGCCTGGGCGCAAAAGCTGTGGGAATGGGTCGGCCTTTTTTGTATTCACTGACGTATGGACAAGAAGGTGTGGAGCACTTTATCGACATTATGAAAGATGAGCTGGAAACGACGATGAGGTTGTTGGGTATAACATCGCTGGAGCAGTGCCATCCGCGGTATCTCAACATAGGGGATGTGGAACATTTGATTCCGAAGGATTTGAATGGGGGTTTGCCAGAGATTCCGGGGAAGGGTGTGAGGGCGAGGTTGTGAAGTTTGTCTGTGTTGGGAGAACGGTGTATTGGGTTTATCTGTGACTTATTCAAAATCGCCCGACTCGAGTGCCCTTTTGTCAGCTTTCTCCTCTTGCATCTTCCTCTCCCTCCTAAACTTCTGATCCAATCCCGCGGCCTTCAGCACCGCAAACCTCACGTGATCAACACCCAACCTCTTCCCTTCTACCAGCGTCTCCGCGCTCACACCCAGAATCTCTCCTAGCGCACCACCGCCGACTGGGGGCTGGATGTCGTATTTCAACTTCTCCATCGCTTTTCTGAGTTCCTCGGGGCTGCCTTTTGGTGACAAGCGACGCAGCACTTTTCCATCGTGGCGTTTGATCTCTTTGGCAGCGGGAATGTATAGTTTGTCTAGCTTAGACAGGATGACTTGGTGACTTACACCCGCTAGGCGCAGTGAAGCGAGCAGAGAACGGTCTTTATCTTTAATACCGTGTTCAGCGTCGATCAAGAGGAAGACGCGGCGGAGTTGCTTGCGGTTGGTAATGTACTTCATGATTTCCGTACCCCAGGATGCGAGTGAACCTTCGCCGTAGCCGGGCATGTCAACGATGGTCAGGCCACCGAGGCCGACGATCTTTTCGCGGTCTTGGCCTTGTTTCTTGATGGTTACGCCGTTGCCTGCGCCGAGACCGTAGAGGTTCATTGTTTTGGTGAAGCCTGGGGTGGATGAGGTACGCGCCAGTAGTGCTTTGATATCGGCGTTTACGACGGCGTTGAGCAACGAGCTCTTGCCGACGTTGGACCGCCCAACGAAAGCTACTTCCGGCACGTCGGACTCGGGGAAAAGACGGAATTGCGCTATACTCCGTAGTAACTTTGCGTTCCGGCCGTGGGTAGTGAAGAAGTGGTTTGCAGTCGTTTTCTGTGCGACGGTAGGGGGAAAGGTATCCCAGTACCAATTGAAGTCTTGCAATTTGTTGAGATTGAGCGAGAGCGAAGTGATTGGTGTCTCAGGCCCTGAATCTAGTGTTGTCTCGGATTTTGGTCGTCTGCCCAAAGGCGCTGATGGCGGAGAGGGTACCAGCTCGTCTGCAAACGATTTCTTACGACCAGCAGGGAAATTTGTCTCCCATTTGCGAATGACAACGCTCTTTGGCTTTTTTATAAGAGGTTTGTGAGGTGCATTCATTTGCGCTAATTCCATTTCTTTCCCTTCTTCTTTCAATTGTTCCATCTCCAATTCTCTCTTCTGTCTTCGGCTCTCTCGCATTGCTCGCATTTGTGCGGTAGTCATGGGCGCATCTCTGTTCTGTTGCCGTCTCTCTCGCATCGTAAGAGGTCGTGGTTCATTCGCTGCTCGTTCAAGGTCCTCCGCAGAGGGCTTTTGCTCGTCCGTCAATTCTACGCGCAGCTTATTTTCCGTCTTGCTCATATGAAGTATACTGCGTGTTGGCGCAGTCGGCCTGAACTTCGCTATCGCATCTCCATTCCAGTGTTTCCGTATCCGTAACCTCGCGTTGGGCGCATCATCTTGAGATGCATCGGTGGTCTGTAGACGGACTTGCGATCGCGCGAGTGGTGTGGTATGCTGGCGCGATAGCCCTTGTATGCAATTGCGGCATACGTATCGCGAAATTGGCGGTAAGTTGTTCATTACGTTTGTACTAGAAGACGGAGAGATGGTGGTGGTGCATATGAAGTTCACGACTGGTCCAAGCTCTGCCGCATCTTTTCGCCGCAGCACTTCCGTGTGGTGAACTTCTCCAACACCACATCGACAAACTACCACATTCCGAGTACTACGGTCCCCAAGGCTCCTTCCGATAATCCAATCTCCCAAATCAAACCCGATTGCTTCCACCACCCACAATGGCACAACCCGCCACCCCCCAAATTCTCTCCATCTACCGACGCCTCCTCCGCGAACTCCCCTCCACGCCCCAATTAACCCGCACCCAACACCAAAAGCTCTCCGCACCTTCAAAACTGCAACAGCGCATCCGCTCGACACTCTCACAAGCGAACCCCAATACCAGCACGCAAAGTCAATTACAACAGGCGGAGCAGTTCATACAATATGTGCAGGCGCAACGGATGCATTCGACGCTGCTGGAGCGGTATAATCCGGGTATGGGCATGACGGAGGAAGAGAGGGTTAGGTTGAGCGCGAGGAGGGTGGGTATGAATTTGCCGGTGGAGTTTGAGGAGGAGGGTGGGGAGAAGGCTTGAGGATGAGGGATGGGGGTTGGAGTGAGATGGAAGTGTGCGAGGTGCGATTTCAGCCATTGGGGGACATGATGACTGGAAGGATGACGCGCTGCGAGAACCTCAAAATATGGATGATGCAATACAAGATCACCGGCATCGCGACACGAAACCGGAGTCTTCTCGGACGAAATGAAGAACACTGAGACGGACTGGCACATGGAGATGGAACTAGAAATGTGCATATGCAATGTACGATTAGAACTGTACAAATCTATAAACTCAAACTTTCAATACAGTAATCCGACCCTCAGTCGACCAAAGTCTCGTACTAGTGTCGCCAACTAAGGGTATGCTGCTTTTGGTATACATAACTCCGTGTTCGCCATACTCTTACACGCCAAAGCGCATATCCTCTTTCTACTCGTGAAAATGCTTTGCGAATCGTCTCCCATCTATATCCGGTTATGACGCTCAGTCTTCAAACTTGAAGCCCTTGCCGCCAGACGTGTCAATCATGCCACCCCTGTACGATCCCCTCTTTCCCTTGTTCTTCTCCTTGGTAAAGCCCTTGCCCTTGGTGACGATCAACTTGGCGTGCGCGCGGTCGGCGTAATCGTAGGAAACGTAGGCGTTGCTTGCGAGATTGGGGTCGACTACGACGTCGGGCTTGATGCGCTGGAATCGGTTCTCGACGTGGCTTCGCTTTGACTTGGGAGCGTCTTGTGAAGGAGAGCCGGCCTTGCGCTTGTTGTTCTTTGGCTCGGGGGATGTTGCTGGCAGAGTCTGAGACGAGTCGCTGCCAGAGGCCTTGCGCTCGAGCGCGGCGGGTTTCTTCTCATCGTCGCTGTCGGAGTCGGAGGAACTGTCTGAAGAGCTATCCGAAGAGCTGTCGGAGGAGCTAGAATCGCTTGAGGACGAGGGTGTGGCAGCCTTCTTTCCGCTCTTCTTGGCCTTCTTCGTCTTGGCTGGCTCTTCGTCAGAGTCGCTGTCGGAGGAGCTAGAGTCGCTGGAGTCGCTAGAATCTGAAGAGTCCGAGTCGCTTGAAGCAGACGATGATGAGACTGAAGCGGCCTTCTTGCTCTTCTTCACTTTCTTGTCCTCCTTCTTCTCGGCTTCTGAGTCGGAGCTGCTGTCGCTCGAGGAATCGCTGTCTGAGTCGCTGGACGAAGAGTCGCTGGAGGCATCGGACGAGTCGGAGTCCGGAAGCGGGATGTTGGCGGGCTCTTCTTCAGAGCTGCTATCGGAGTCACTCGAGTCGCTGGAGGAGGAAGCGGAGGATGAAGACACGGATTTGGCCTTCTTCGCTTTGGGTTTCGCCGGCGCGCTTTCCTTCTCAGATTCGGAATCGGAATCTGAGCTGGAGCTGGAAGAGTCGGAGCTAGAGTCGGAGGAACTCGATGAGCTGGAAGCATCGTCCTTCGCGGCTGCCTTCTTTCCAGCAGTTTTCTTGGCCTTCTTTGGCTTTGCCTCGGCCTCAGACTCGCTGCTTGAGTCGCTGCTGGACTCGCTTTCCTCATCGTCGCTAGCCTCAGAATCGTTGTCGCTCATGGGCGACGCACACCATCGATCAAACTCCTCGTCAATTTTGGTGACAGCATCCTTCTCGCCCTTCTTCTTGAGGAACTTCTTTACCAGCTCAAGCTGGGGAATTTCTGTCGATGCAGCCTTCTGCTTCTTGTCGCCGCTAGACTTCTTAGAAGCCTTCCCGGTAGCCATTGCGCGGTACGTGTCGTGTTTCGTGGATTGCGGCGGTGGAATGGTGGTGCTGGCGTGAAAGGTGCAGACGTCGCGCAAGAAAAAAAGTACGGTAGGCGGAATGGTTCAGCGCCCCGGCTACGCTAAGCCCCAAACGTGATCCCTGTCCCGCGCGCCTGCCGTCTCATATGGAGTACACGACGCCAGACGTCCCTCTCCGCACACCACCCCATTGCCTCTTTCACTCGCCGCCCACATTCTTCCCTCGAACGGCGCACTTGGCAGCACTTGTTCCGGGACTACCGCATTGAGCACCCCGATTGCTCCTCACCGCCGCTCCACCCGTTGACGTCGCATCGCCCGGCCATCGCAAGACTCATTACCACCTTTCGCGATTCATGGCAGCTCCCGGAGGACCTCTCGCTAGCGCCCGGCGGCAGTAATCGGCGCATCATTCACCCACACCCTCAACTACCCCATCGGCCTTGCAGATAGCCGCACAGCAGAATGGAGGGGAGGCCACGCAACTACACCAACGGAGCGGGGGACCCTCGAGCTCCTGCCGGCCGCCCACCTGGCAGCTCGAGGGGGGCGCCTTCTGCCTCCAGCTCGACGCCCTCTGGCATGTCGCGCGCAGAACGATTCGACGACGAGCGGAAGAGAATCACCGAAAGCTGCTTCTCCAAGACGGATGACCAGGGCCAGCGTACGTGTCTACATCAGTGCCCGC